TTGTTGGCTATTGCTACAAATATACCCCAGCGACTTAAGACTGCTTTTGTGCTGCAGGGTCACATTTGTCATTGTATGTATCATTATAGACTATTATTTCCTTTTTCTCAAAAGCTAAAGCTGTGAGAACAAATAAAAATAAACATTGGGTCCTTAAATGTGCAATCTAGGCATCATGGTATTGGAGAGGAAATTAGACATAATCTCACTATCGGCACAAAACACTAAGAAACAGCACTGGGCACAACATGGCAGATTCATACTGGGAAAGGTGTGTGTGTGTGTATGTGAGAGAGAGTGTGTGTGTGTGTGTGTGCTGAAGCGCTGCTGTGCACTCGCTATTTAGTGCAACACACAATCAAAACAAAACACTAGTTCAGTTACAGCAGAGTGAGAATATGAACGTTAAAGTCATATTGTCCAAAACTAACATCAAACACCTGAGACAACAAACTACTAATGGATTGCTTCTATTTTTTAAGAAAAGAATATATATATATATATATATATATTTACAGTTATTTAAAAAGTATTGTCACATCTGTGATCCTAATTATTAGTTATATAATGGGCAAATGTTACACTTTGGTGATTAAAAAAGAGACGAGAGGGGGTATATTTTCAGATATTAAACGCCAGTCACTTTATGCAGACTCAGGTCATGAGGTTTCTGAGCATGCTGACACGGGCCATCAGTAAAATAACATTAAACGCTTTAACCAAAAGCCTCACACATAAGGTCAACGCAAACATTTTGTGAGAGAATGCAAAAGCTTTGAAATGTAATCTCATTTTGCTCCATCACAGTGTCCCTTTAGGGAATCCGCTTATATATTCTTGCATCAATGGAAGCACCAAATGGAAACTAGCCATAGCAACAATAGTTCTCCTTTCCTATGAGAATATAAAGCCAAAATCAATTCACACAAGAAATCCTGTAGCATTGCTTCTTCATTTGATTCTCTAAATATGTCCTTTTGGTCATTTTTCACTCGTGTCTCAAGGCGGTGAGATTTTAAATTTAAATTTGAATTCTTTTGATTTGCATACTGCTCAGGTAATCTCTGGCTAACGGTTTGACAAAGAGAACGACAAAACACAAGTACACAAAACTGGTTAAAATTGCAGTTTCTGTTTTTTCGTGTAGAAATAAATGTTCTGCTTAACACACTATGTACAATGCACCATTTATAGTTTACAGGCAGTGTACACTAAATCAACACAGATTCGTTCTGTCGAAACGACTTTCCAGACTCAAAATGTATTATTCCAGTATGGTGCCCAAGGGATTCCAGGACACTTTACATTAGACTCATGAACTAAAGTGCAAAATGAGTTGTGATAGTTCTAGTCCTGTGACAGAAGTGCAGTCACTAATATTGAATAACAGAAGGTGTGATGGTAGTTCCCTAGCTGGTGCTCGGCTTAGAGAGGTCATTTTATAGTCTCCAGGTTGTGGGTGATCTGCTCTGAAAATGCTGCTTGTGTTCTGGAGGTGATGTTACATGGCTAGTTTCGATCTTATAAAACATTCTCTGATGTTCTGAATTTTTTTTTTATCTTTACAAGGCTGTGCAAATGCATCTTAAGGTGGTGGCAGTTTTGCAGTTACATTCCCTTTAAGACATTTTTGGCAAGAATGTGCGTCTATTCTGTGAAAGATTAAAAGCATTAATTTATCAGATCCCTGTTGAAAAGACCAGTGTTTCTATTCTGCAAATATCACATTAGGGGCTCTGTCGAAAGATCATGCTCATTCACTAGCACAGTGGTTCTTAACTCTGTTTCTGGAGGCCCCCAAACAATGCACATTTTCAATGTCTACTTTGTCCGATACACCCATTTCAGGTCTTGGAGTCTCTACTAAAGAGCTGATGACCTGAATCAGATGTGAAACATGCAGAATGTGCAGTGTTGGGGGCTTCACGAACAGGGTTGGAATCCATTGTATCTAGCATGTTTTGTTGGAGATCAACATGAATACATTGGTTCACCAGTCAGACCGCTGCAATTCAAGCTGGTCTTTTCAGCAGGACTACAAAAATATTCTACCTGACATTCCCAGATGACCTGGACAACACAGACACACTAGTTCTACTTTTGAGCCAAACATGTTCTGCTCTTCTGTTTTTACCGTGATTAGTTGATTAGTCAGGGATGTTAAACCTTCCCGTGGTCATAACTACAGACCATCACAGGGAGGCTCGAACGCAGACAGCATGCTCATGGAACCTGCAGAGCCTGAACTGATACAGCTGACTTGTGATATCTCATCTCCTAAACTCACCTCGGACAAAACATGAGCCTCTGTCCAGCACACACCTCCCTCCTCAAATGCTAGCAGGATATTTTTGTGTCTTTGTCTCTGAATCTCTCTGTGTCTGAGGCAAGTCCTGCTCTTTCTTTGCCTCTTTTGTTGAAGTGGAGATGGACTGGAGGACTGTAGATGAGGAGGCAGTGGAAGCAGGAATGGGAGATGGACTTAAGGTTGGAGTGGACAGAACGTTTAAAGTCTGAGTCTGGCTAGCAGCGGACTTCTGTGGCTGTGAAGCAGCTGGAGATGGAGTTGATGAAGGAGAAGGTGATGATGCAGCAGCAGCGGTAGCTTTAGCAGGTGTGGCTTGTGTCTGCGATTGGTTCAGAACAGGGGTTGACAGTCCACTTTGGGCTGGGGTATTGATGGGAGAGCCTGGGGTCCAGGAAGGATTTGGAGTCTGTATGGTAGTTGAGGTTTGGGTTTGACTGGAGACTGCAGAACAAGTCGAAGGAGGACCAAGAACATGGACAGCGGCTGGCATCTGGACAGCAGCACTCTGACCCATGGTGGAACTCATAGGTTTACTTGGAGTCTGAGTGGGAAGCAGACTCTGAATGGAGGTTGAGGTCGGAGCTTGTGCAGCTGCTGGGATCTGGACGGGAGTTGGACACCGACCCTGGGATTGGGTTTGGATGGCCACTGGTGTTCTAGATTGGGTGGGGGTCTGAATAGGGGTTTGAACAGGGGTTGGGGTTCGGGTCGGGGTGGGGGTTTGAGATGGAGTGATGGTGGGCGTTGAGTTGGTGGTGCAGGATAATGGGGACGGTGGAGGAGGCGTCTGAGAGGGTTTGGTACGGGAATTCTGAGCCAAAGAGGTGCCAGAAGATGAAGTTGGAGAGGTGGAGGTGGACTGAGAGGGAGAAGGAGGGTGTAGGCAAGGAGGAGGAGAGGTTGAAGGAGTAGGTATTGCAGTGCCTGCTTTGACTCGCTGGGTTTGAGGAACCCCTAGACCAGAAGATGTGGTCGTGAGGGATAAAGGAGGGTTGGTGGAAAAAAGAGGGGTTTGCTTCGGGGAGGACGAAAAGGGGGCATGGGGTGACGGAGCTGATCCTGGAGCTGATGTGAGTGGAGGTGTGTATGCCAACAGCAGGGGTGTGTTTGTCAGTGCCTGTGTGGCACTAGGCGAGTTTGAGCTCAAAACACCTGCACTTCCTCCTCTAGCAAGTCCTGATGACAAAAGGAAGGGTGCCGGAAGCAGGTTTCCTCCGGATGCTTTGCGATGGAGAGGCGGGTGAGGTTGCACGCTCGCCCAGCTGCGGTGGGGGAGAGTCGGCTGGGAGGCGGAGAGCAGTCTGGCCTCCTGGGTAAGCCGACCAATCATGGGAAGGCCCTGGGTGCTGCCTCCTCCAACATGACGCAGCAAAGCCTCTTTGGCCCCCTGCGGAGCGGAGCCAACATTGCGCCCTTCAACGGACAGTGGGGCAACTGCTGAGGAGGGAGGCGGGACTTTATGGACAGGTGATGTTGTGGGTTCTGTGAGGAGGCGGAGACTGTAATGAAGTGTTCTTCCAGCCTGCAGGGGGGCGGGCAGCTCCAAGGGCATGTTGCTGTTGTAGCTGCTGCTGCAACTGTTGCTGCTGCTGTTGCTGATGCATCAAGGCAATGGCCACGTTGGTGGTAGCAGCGGCTGTCTGGAGGGGAGCATGGACCAGAGGTGCCCAGATCACCGGATGAGGTCGGGGTGAGACCGTGCCTCCCGTGCTGCCTCGGGTGCCAGCGGTGATGTCCTGCATGGCAGGCATGCTATCGTGCTTCACGATCTGCTGGACCAGAACACTGTCGCAAGAACCCAGGCCGGTGCCTCCTGCTCCTCCTCCGCGGCTCCCTCCACCCCGTCCCAAACTGCTGCCCGCTACAGATCCTCCCTGTGAGGTCTTGCGCAACAAAATCGAGTTCTTCTTACCTGTGAAAAAACGTAATTCAGAATAGGGTTAGGACAGAAAGGAAATAACTGAATATGGTTATTAATGTGGACGTCAAATTAAATCAATCAAAATTGAAACTTCTGTCTCATTCATTTGCTCACGTCTCATATGGATTCGTTTTATGGTGTTATTTTCTCATTTTTGTCAGTTCCCATTCACTTTCTTTGTACCGTAAAGATCTGGGATACGGATTTGGAATGACATGAAGGTGAGTAAATGATGACAGATTTTTTTCAGATCGTCTCTCTTTAACTACAAAATTCGCAAAAGGAGCAGGAAGGTAGGAAGGTTTTACCGATGCGATCAAGTCTGTCCACCGCCACCGTCTCGAAGGCCCGTCTCATCATGGGATGCTCTTCCAGAACCTCATTGAAACTGTCCACACTGAGGGAGTAAAATCTACAGTATGTATCTGCTCGGACACTAGCTGTCCTCCTGCCACGAGTCAACAGACAGATCTCTGAGGGATGGAGAAAGACCACAAGGAGGTTAGAAAGAAATCTATAGGACAATAAACCTGGTTCTGAAGAGCTCATAACAAATATCTGACATCAGCCACTTCACAATCAGCCCATAAACTCACCTCCAAAGTATGACCCATCGCTGAGCTTGGTCTCCTTGCTTCCACGAGTAAGTACACTGACCCGTCCATGCTGGATGAAATACATCTTACGGCCAACGGTTCCCTCACGAATGATGAAGTCATTGGGCTGGAACACCTCAAACTTCAGCTTCGTTAGCACTGCTGTTACGAAGTTTGGGTCGGCGTTAGCGAAGAGAGGCATGTTAGCCACCAAGCATCGGCAGTTGAAGCTAACAATTTCCTGTTAAGGTCACAGTGCAAAAGCAAACATTAATTAGCAGGTTAAAGTTTGTAAAATGCAAAAACTCACTCTTACCCACTAGCAGTTGCTACCACAACAATGCTGATGTTTTTATTAGATTCAAATATAAACTAAAATAGTCCTGCGATATCTGCTTGTGTCTGAAAACACAAAGAATATCAACCTAATGCATGAAAAGAGCTGAGAAGTAAACTTTCGGCATCCACGAGTTTAGTGCATGTGTAGATAACAAACCTCCTTTAAGGGCTCGCTCAGCTCTCCCAGAATGTTATCCTCGTCAAACATCTTGCCCTGGTATCGGTGTTCATAATACTCGTGGATTTTCTGCCTGACATCTGCTGGAAGCTTATGGAACGACATGTACTGCTCCACCTGCTTATACTGGACATCAGATGCTCTCCGTTAGTCAGAACAACCGCACATCAGACTGATTGGGAATTATGAAATAGATTTAATGACGATTTATTCATGAAGTCACCAGAGATCAACATCGTCCAGGGCTTTACCTTCTCCTGGTACTGTCGGCGTGAGGAGTCCAGGGACTGGATGAGGGCCGTGGCGTGGCCGATGAACATGGCATAGCAGGTCGCACCCACAATCATGCTGAGCATTGTGAGCCAGACGTCCGTCATTCCCTCTGGAGCCTGAGCGCCGTAACCGATGCACAGCATGTGACTCATGGCCTTAAACAGTGCATATGTGTATTGGATGCCCCATGTGTCGTTCTGAAACACAGATCACACGGCGGACAGTAAACGACTGCATCCACACCATCTGACTGATGCTTGAGCTTCATCAGGTCAGTTTAGTGTTTGGGGAAAAATGTTTATATAAAGATGATTGATACACTTTAATTTATTGACACTGGCAATGTTCAACTCTTTTCACACAAAAAAAAATAGCCAATTCCCATAAGACTCAAAGACAACAACAAATAAATAAATACAAATAATACATATATAAGAAATAATTAATAATAATTAATATTATTTAATTATTTTTATTTAATTACATTTTTTATTATTTAATAAATAAATAATAATTAATTAATTTCTATTTTAAATAAATGCTATTCTTTTTAACGTTATTCATCAAATAATCCTGAAAAAAGTATGACAGGTTCCCAAAAAAATATCGTGCAGCACAACTGTTTTCAACATTGATAATAATCAGAAATGTTTCTTGAGCAGCAAATCAGCATATTAGAATGATTTCTGAAGATCATGTGTACACTGAAGACTGGAGTAATGATGCTGAAAATACAGCTGCGCATCACAGAAATACATTACAGTTTAACAGATATTCACATAGAAAACAGTTATTTTAAATTGCAATAATATTTCACAATATTACAGTTTGTTCTGTATGTTTAATCAAAGAAATGCAGCCATGATGAGCAGAAGAGACTTTAAAACACATTCAAACTTTTGAACACTAGTGTACAATTAATACTAAAGTCACACCAATTTCAATTAGTGTTGTTATAGTTTCATTGTGATACTGTTAAAGCTTTTGTTAATATTTTGAATGAGATATTATTTTATATTTCTGCTTTCATGTTAATTTCGAGTTTTAGTCATTTTGTTGCTTGTTTTGTCAATTTTTGTTGTCTTTAAATATGTCTATATAGATTTTATTTTTTTTTGTTTCAGTTTTAGTTTTAGTTATTTTAGTACATGAAGTACTGAAATGTAGCCTTGGAAACTATCTGAAATAAAATAAGTTTCAGTTTTTTATATTTAGTTTTATTTCAGTTTATTTTATTTCAATAACAAAATGTTTGAATTTTTCATTAAAAACTTTCATAAATTTGTTAACATTTTATGGTCTTTAGTTTACTATAAAAACCCTGAATCCAAGCAAAAAAATTAATATTTTAAAAGAAATTTAGAATTTAGAATGAAATGAAAAAAAATAAAAAAAATA